AAATATATAAATTAAGTATAAGAGTACCTGAATATTCTATTGCATCGACAACCAAGAGCGTGGCTGGTTAAGAATACCCTATTCTCGTCCACTGAAGAAAGTTGACCTGTTGAAAAAAAACCAGCTTACACCAAGCCCGTGCCCAAATGTCCTCAGACGCTCCGCAGAGGAATTTAGGGTGTGCAGGGGGGTAGGTGGCAGGGAGGTGAGGGCGGTGTAGGGGGTAAAGTTGTGCACGCCTCAAATTCCTCAAGGGGCGGCTGAGGTTCCTGAGATAACGGATATGTATGACCCCTTATACAGTAGTCACGTGTCACTGACCTCTCTCATGACTTCGCCACACAACGAACGCAGCCACCTTCCTTCTATAAGTTTTCGAGCTATGCTTTGCTAGCTGGCAACACGTGTTCGGACGTCCTTTGAAACATCGACCTGCGTCAACGCCCCAGGCTGAGCTTGCAGGTGAGCATCACGCAGGAGAATGGCGAAGAAGCCCGAATGCGAACGAGTGGACGTCATTGAACCGTGCGGCGAAGAAGTGGACCAAATGCTATTTTGAAACGGAATTTCTAGAAGCGAACAGTGTTCGGTGACGATGGCGGACGAGTGGTGGTGTTGTTTAAGCGCCCGGTGAGGCTTGGCACCCGTCCAAAGCGGACTGGCGGCATTCTCGAAGCGCCCGCGCCCATCGTTCAGGGCTACCAACGCCAGTCGACGGACGTTATCGCTGCGACAGCATCATCAATTGTACCCCAGCGCTAAGTTGCATGGCAACGTCGTAGGGCTGTGGACTATGCGGACGCCTCGGCGGCTGGCAACGCACGGCTGTGACACGGCGCGTGCAAAAGACATTCGATACAATATATGAGCCTACCAATGTCGTTCCGCAAGCCTTAATATGTTCTCTAAAAGCAGTCCATGAGACGAGTGTTGTCTGACGAATTTCCTTGTCTTCTCCCTTTCATTTCCTTCCGTCTCCTCACCGCTGTTGACCGGCGTTTTCTTTTTTCCCTTTTCCTAATGGTGCTCTCATAGATTCTCATCGGTCAGTCACTCTGCACCAAGCACGAAGGATCTTGCAACCGCTTCCGAAAGAATGTCCTCTCACTGTGAATCAGATACTGTACAACTATGCTTTTCAGCTATTTCAAAAGGATATGCATTATCGGACCTTCATTAATACTGGCACTTCCTCAACCTTCAACCACATCACTACCAAAAGCATTACCTTCCTCTTTACAAAGCACAGTACCAGAATGTGCACGACAATGTCTGGATTCCGCTCTCTACACCTCGTTCCCGGTATCTTGCACTTCTCCAGTAGACCTCGGGTGTCTATGTTCCCGATATAGTACGAATGGATCAAGCCTTGGGGAAGTTGCCCTTGGTTGCTTGTATGCCTCTTGCTCCTCTGTGCCGGACGACCAAGCCTCCAAAGCTTTCAATATCTGCGTCGGACAGAATGATGCTGTCCTTCCAACCCAAAGTGCGCTGACAATCACTGCACTCAAGACGACTCTCTCCACAGTCACGACGATTGCAACACTCTCCAGTACATCTACGACCCACGCAACCCCATCTCCAAGTACATTACAAACTTCTGCCAAGTCTTCGATACGGTCCACAGCCTCTTCGGCGGCGGCCACATCGATCGTAGCAGCAGCAACTTCGATCATAGCAGCAGCATCTGTCACGCTGCAAGCTTCCGCAGCTTCGTCCAGCGAAACCTCAACGTCGTCGAACCAGGGACACGGGCCTTTGCAGACGGCACAAATTATTGGCATAGCTGTGGCCGGCGCTGCAGTCATCAGCATAGCTGTCGGGGCTATGGTCTTGAGCATCTGCCTAAGGCGTCGGCATGAACGAAGAGTTCTACAAAAGTTGGACAAAGCTCGTCTTCTTGCTGAGAAGGGTTCCCATGGTCCCTCTCCACCCAGTCAATTTCCTCAGTTTCCTCTAGGCCGAAACACTCCACCACCAGCTCGCCTAAGGGACCCCAGAGGAGCAGGAGGGGTCGGGGTAGGGGTCGGCCTCGGAGTTGGCGTTGGAGTTGGACTCGCAGCAGCTCAGCCAGCTCCGCCCGTTCAAAGAGTGGGACTACCGTATCCATACGCAAGTTCTTCCAACACCCCGGAGAGGCCAAGAATGGTGCGCGGGGAAGTCCCTAAGCTCCAAACTAGCATGATCGGTCTGTCTCGAGACGTCGGTGAAAATACTAATGGGGCAACTGTGGATGTGCCATTGGAGGAGATAGGTCTTGCGATCAGCCCCGAGAACGACCGCCATGTCTCTCCGGAAAGCTTCGTTAGCACACGGACTATGTCGAGACTCCTTCCAGACAAACCGGTGCCGGTTTTGACAGTCCCACGAAAAGAGCAGCGCCATAGAAGTAGTATGCTACGCCCTGATTCCGCCCTTACGACTGTAACTCTTTTCGAAGAAGATACGCCAGTAGACCGAACGGAAAGGCCCAAGCTTGAGCCAATCCTACCGATTCCTCCACTCAAGGTCCGGGGTTCGACGATTCCACAAGAAATACGGTCAGGAGGGGCTCGTGCATACGCCCAGAGTTATGTACAAGAGATAGAAACTCCCCAGACTCCTACCAGACCTCAGTATTTCAAACAAGCTCCATTTGGCCAGCCCGAAGTACCACGATATGCCCAAAACTATGGCCAAGATGGGGGTCCTGCTCAAGCTCCACCTCTTTCCCTTAATATACCCGTTCGCCATTCCAGATTCCAGCCAGCTCAGACTGTTTCGCCAATCCAAGAAGTCGTCTCGCCTCATCGGCCTCGGCCAAGTCACGAGCCAATGGAAAGGCCGGCGTCGAATTCAAGCCTGGATGGCTATATCCCCGACTACTACATCTCTCCAGACAAACTTCTCCCACGGTCGGAAAAGCTAATAGCCAGCCCTGAGTTCCAGCGCAAACCCAGCAAGTCGCCAAAGCTGGTTCAAATCAAGTCAAAAGCTTCGTCCATGACTGTATCCAGATCTACCTCAGTAACCTCTCGGAGCAAGCGAGAATCGATGAGCTCAAACACTACTTTCGAATCTGCCGATCTTGATGACCCGACGCCTGAAGACGAATCTGATGACATGGACAAGCAACTCTCTCCTGTGGCCGAATCGCCGATTTCGAATCTGAGATACCCCAAGGTTCCACGAGCATCCAACCAAGCCGTGCCGCGAAGCCCGAAGAGTCCATTGAGCCCACAAAGACAGAACAGGAACCAAGCAATGCAAGCGCGGACGCAGTCTCCAACACCCTCTCTCCTCGTCAAGCGACGCGGAGAAAAGCACGCGCAGGAGCTCGAACACCGCCTCTGGACGCCTGAACCCTTCGGCCAGAGTCCGCGGCGCAAAATGAACTCCCGCCAAGGCCACGTCCGGAGCGGCAGCGACGACTCCATGGCCCGCACGGCGCAGTGGGCAGAGTCTAGACATAAGCGACAGTCGAAGAGCGTAACAGACTTCGAGACGCAGTACGCGTACAGGTTCAGATCAGCTGAGCCGGAGATGGAGGCGCTGAAGAGTCCGCTGTGGGTGCCGAAGTTGACGCCCACGCGGCAAGGGGACGAGCTGTTCATTTCAGTCGTTTGAGCGCGTTTTACTTCTTTTGTATATGTACACTATGGATAGCGATACATGATGGCGTTTTTGGCGGGTAGGGCCGCTTGTACTGTATATCACTACTGATACCCATTCGTTTTTCTTTTCAGGGTTGGAGCATGGGATTGGACGAGACTGGGATGAGATAAAAAAAACATTCGCTGGATGAGATTTCATAAATATATTGTATGTACTACTAGAACAAGATAAGGGAAACGAAAAGCTCAGAGAGGTATTTGAAGATTATACATATCCTCCAATATTTGAGGTCCGCGATCGATATGACTTGACGTCCATCTCGACTACCCCTTCCTCTAGACTTGTATCAATGTGGAAATAAAGCGTAGAAACATACTCAAACATCCTTACTTATTGGAGAGATTTGTCTCAAGGGTGCTCTACATGGTATGCAATTCTGCACCAGCTGGATTCGCTGGATAACATTTCATAAAGATATTCGTGTACTATGTAAGGACGATGAAAACTATGGAAAGCTTCGAGACGCATGTTAACATTTAACACGTTCACCGATATCTTGCTGCCTGCGATCGATTTTGCCTCGAAACCCGACGACGTGGCAATTGATAGTCAAAAGAAAGCACTATCGTGACCAACAAGATCAGAGCCAGAGACGCAGATCAGGCCAACAGTCTGGGCGCACCCGGGGCTGCAGAATAGAGTAATCCGTTGGTCAGCGCGGGCAGCGTTACAAAGGCATGGGCACTGCGGCCGCGGAAGACAATCGTGGTGCCTTCAAAGAATAATATCCACGATCTAGATGGAGAGGTTAGAGAGACAGGTGACAGAGCAGTTTAGCCGGGAGAAGTGGCTCCTCTAGTCATCCTTTTCTAGTGATTGGCTTCTCTCAGTCAGCGATAGTTGATAGCTTATTCATGCTACCGGTTCTGCCATCGCAGCGGGCAAGAGATTCCGCGCGGGTCGGCTACTTGGTGAAGCCCTGAGGGAGGCTCTCGCGATGTCGGCCAGCCACCGGCCTGCGCGACGACGCGGTTAATGGAAGATAATTGCGGTGGAAAACTCTGCGGAGGATGTTCCTGGTGAATATGTATACCCACAAATCGGAGAGAAACCCGGCGGGGCATGAGGTGAAAGCAGAGCGAGGAGGCCCCGAACACGGCATGTTTTGGGCTGGTGGAGGGGCAACGGCGCTAGGGCGGGACTGCGTCACAGCCGGGGGTTCCAACGTGGGTGGAATGACCCCAATCTTTCTTTCCCATAAAGCTGCATTTCTCTTCTCCCCTCCTTCACAACACTTCTCTCCCTCACAACACCGCCATCATGCCTTACACCGACACCGATCGCCTTGGAATTAATACGATTCGGACGCTCGCCGTAGATGCAACTTTTGCTGCTAACAGCGGTCCGTAGTCCTCCATTCTTTACGACATCTGCCCCACCATGCCCAACAAGCCTTTCCGCTCGCAAACTATACCCCAACATACCCTCAAAAGCTTCAATTGCTAACTCTGGCTGTTCAGGACACCCGGGCGCCCCCATGGGCTTGGCCCCGGCGGCTCACGTCCTCTTCAACAAGTTCATGACTTTCAATCCGAAGAACCCCGACTGGGTAGGCCGCCTTAGCATACTTGTAGTCAAACTTGTAGAAATTAATTTCATTATCAGGTCAATCGCGATCGTTTTGTCCTCTCGTAGGTTCCCCTTCTCCATATAAACCCCGCAGTCCCAGGAAGCTGTCGAGTATCGAGGAGGTCGGGATCATGTCCAGTGCGGGCTTGTGCCCAGCATAGAATTCAGATCTCCTCGGATATGTGTCGAGGCTGAAACTGCTTTTCTGCTTTGTTTGGGCGGCTTTTGCGTCAATTTCGTGGATTTGGCATCTCTTTCGGCAATTCCGCCTTCTCCGCTGTTTTGCTTGATTGCAGCGAAGAAACCCCGCAGTCACTATCTAGTATGCTAACTCGGGCTGTGTAGGAACGGCCACGGATGCATGCTCCAATACGCTCTGCTACACCTCTTCGGCTATGCCGTCACCATTGACGACCTTAAGCATTTCCGCGTAAGTAGTGCCGTCCTCAATTGCAATAATTGACACTCACATCATATCAGCAAGTGGATAGCATCACCCCGGGTCACCCAGAAGCCCATGACACTCCCGGTATCGAGGTCACCACTGGTCCCCTTGGCCAGGGTTTCTCGAACGCCGTCGGTCTTGCCGTTGCTCAGGCTCACACTGCGGCCACATTCAACAAGTCCGGCTTTGAGCTAATCAACAACTACACCTACACCATTTTCGGCGATGGCTGCGCTATGGAGGGCATTGCCAGTGAGGCTGCTAGCACTGCTGGTCACTTGCAGCTTGGAAATCTGATTGCCATCTACGATGACAACCATATTTCCATTGGTAAGCACGCGCTTTCTACAACCCAAACATCATGCTAATCGTGACTTCAGATGGTGACACCAAGTGCGCGTTCACCGAGGACGTTCTGAAGCGATTCGAGGCATACGGATGGCACACACAGTGGGTGAAGGATGGTGACCACGACCTAGAAGGCATAGAGGCAGCCATTGCTGCAGCCAAGAAGGTCACGGATAAGCCTTCCGTCATCAAGCTCACGACCACCATCGGTTTCGGCTCCAATCTCCAGGGAACCGGCGGTGTCCACGGAAACCCCCTCAAGGCGGACGACATCAAGCAGGTCAAGGCGAAATTCGGCTTCGACCCGGAGAAGACTTTTGTCGTGCCCCAGGAGGTCTACGACCAGTACCACGCCCATGCTGCCGAGGGCGCTGCTGCTGAACAAGAGTGGAACAAGCTGTTTGAGAAGTACGGCCAGGAGCACAAGGAACTTCATGCCGATCTTCTTCGACGACTGAAGAAGGATCTGCCAGAGGGATGGCAAAACCACCTCCCCGTCTACAAGCCCACGGACGCTGCCATCGCCTCCCGCAAGCTCTCCGAGAGCGTCCTCGAGGCCATTTACGAAGTCATTCCCGAACTCATGTCCGGCTCCGCAGATCTCACAGGCTCCAACAACACTCGGTGGAAGAAGGCCATCGACTTCCAGCCCCCCAGCTTGGGCATTGGTAACTGGGCCGGTCGTTACATGCGCTACGGTGTGCGTGAACACGCCATGGCCGCTATCATGAACGGAATGTCCGCCTATGGCACCATTATCCCCGCCGGCGGAACCTTCCTGAACTTCGTTTCCTACGCCGCCGGTGCCGTCCGCCTCTCCTCGCTATCTCACCAGCGCGTCATCTACGTCGCTACCCACGACTCTATCGGTCTTGGCGAGGACGGCCCCACCCATCAGCCCATCGAGACCCTCGCCCATTTCCGCGCCCTGCCCAACATGATGGTCTGGCGCCCGGCCGATGGCAACGAGACCTCCGCCGCCTACTATATGGCCCTGACATCCAAGGGCACGCCATCCATCCTCGCCCTCACCCGCCAGAACCTGCCGCAGCTTGAGGGCTCCTCCCTCGCCAAGGCCATCAAGGGCGGCTACGTCGTGCTTGAGGACAAGGAGGCCGACGTCACACTCGTGTCGACGGGCTCTGAGGTCTCACTGTGCCTCGAGGCCGTCAAGACCCTCAAGGACCAGGGCCTCAAGGCTCGCGTAGTTTCGCTACCTTGCGTCGAGGTGTTTGATGCTCAGGACAAGGAGTACAAGCTCTCTGTCATCCCAGATGGTGTCCCGACTTTGAGCGTCGAGGTGATGTCGACGCTAGGCTGGGAGAAGTACAGTCACGAGCAGTTCGGCCTTAACCGGTTCGGTGCGTCGGGACCGTATAAGGAGGTTTACGCTGTAAGTTGATACCCCTCTCCCGCTAATGTCAGCCAAATTTGCTAATAGATGCTGTTTAGAAATTCGAATTCACCCCCGAAGGCATCGCCAAGCGCGCCAAGCTTACCGTCGACTACTACAAGGACGTCAAGCCGCTCCGCTCGCCGGTCAACCGCGCCTTCCAGCAGCTCATCTAGACGTCTAACTTCGTCTTCTGCACTTAATGGGAGTCAGCTACGAACTTGAACGTATGATTGCGGGATCGGTTCCTTCATTAGCACCTTGTTGAAGTCGAGTGCTTGGTTACTTGACTGAAGAGTTGCGAATTCTTGTGTGAAGGGGAGGTTTCTCAAAATTAGAGTGAGAGCGGGGGTATATAGATTGAATGACATGCGTTGATCGTGTACGCTCTAGTCTATGTGAGCGAGCGAAGAGTGAAAGAGTGTATGATTCCACGGTGCGGACATGGCGAGCACGAGGGGTAGTGACCTCTTGTCCCTTTTATCACTGGTTCCAAACCGTTTTTTAGACGCCGAAATGGGCCCCTCCGCGCGGTTGGTTCTGATTCCATTAACCACGGGAAGCGTGGAAGTCGCCGAAGCCACACCCCCCCCCCCAAACACAAAAATCCGAGTGAGCAGTCAACAAATCCTCACGCGATTTGACCGAGTAGACGGGAAGTTAGTAGGCGCGGTGTAGGTGTGGTTCCATTTCATCCCCACTCATCTTCACCTCCCCCCACCCTTCTTATATTTTTTTGTCAAGAAAACCCTCGCTAAAGCCTTCAAACCCTTGAAAGTGCTCCCTTCATTATAATTTCTCAGTGAATCAACCTTTCATTGCCAAGGGGTGCACGCGGAGGGGTACGCGGCGTACCTGCCTGTAACATGGCTACTTCTGTCCCCCCTTTCTTATGCGGCTCAACCCAGCGCACTGGGGATAGAACCTAGTAAGTTGGTCATAAGTTCTTGGAGGTTGAGCCGTGGAGAGGGTCTGGGGTGGTAATGGGAGTAATGGGAGTAATGGGAGTTTGGTAATAGACGCGGAGGGTAGGAGAGGTGTGGTTGCTCGTTAACCCCAATCTGGACGTTTTAGATCAGGCCTGTGGCTTTTGAGCTGGTGAGGAGCAGTCGAGGCCACGCGGCGAGGTCGTGAGCTAAGTGGCTATAAGTTCGTACGGGTTCAACCGCGTAGACGAGAGTTTCGTAGACGCGGAGGCTACGCGATGTAGTCACTTCGGGTGGCTTTTGTGAAACGGTAGCAGGAGACTAGAATGTTTCATAAGGGCTGTCGATGCTGTCTTGATACTTCTGGTATATGTTTTCTTTATCCCGTAATCCTCTCACATGCTCATGATCGACTCGGTCACCCTCGCCTCCGAGATGATGATCTCCACGTCTGCGATTCCAGCTACACCCTCACGCCCCAAACGCACAACCGCCCGACCTCTCCGACCCCATCTCCCTTGTTTTCCTTCCCCTCCCTACTGCATTCCTTCAGTCCCTCCACCTCCTCACCCCTCTTCCTCTTCCTCCCCCTCACCTTCCCCGTTCCCTTTCCCCCGCCCTCCTCCTCTTCAACCTCCTCACCTCCCTCCTCATACAAACTCCACCCAAAACACAAACTCACCCTCAAAAACAGCAATCTCTGCTCCAGATACCGCAGCACCTCCGCACTCGAACTAACGAGCTGAAACGCCGACCGGCCGAGCAACTGCTCCCACGCCGCGTCCGAGAAGAGCACTTTGCCCTGGGCGAGGGCGCCGGTTTCGTCGGCTAGGGTGCCGAGCTGGCTTACATTAGTACTTTCATAAGGGGAGAGGGGGGGCCCCCGGGGTAACGCACGATGCGCGGGTTGATGCGGAGTGGCTGGTATTTCTCGCATTGTTTGCACTTCGCGGTTACGGCGTTGGCGTAGAGGGGGACGCCGCAGCTGCGGAGGTGTTAGCGAGGGAGTAGGCTGAAAGGGAGCGTGGGATGGGAGTGGGGCTGGAAGAGGATCGTGGGGATGGGGGGAGGAGAAATTACCATTCCGTGCACATGAGCATGTTGCGTTTGAAGTTGGTGACGATGTGGAGGTCCATGATTATGATGCTGAGGAAGCCCATGAATTTCTCTGCGTGTGGGTGGGGTTAGTGTGTCGTTGGTGTAGCTAGGGGAGGGATGTTGGATGGGAAGGAGTGGGAGGTACCTTTTGGTGCCGCGCGAGCGCTGGGGTGTTGTTAGTGAGAAGTTGGGAGATAGGCATTGGGGTGTGGAGGAAGTAGTACAATTCATCGATGTCTGCGAGCCTGTATAGGATGCGTACTTGAGAGCTCTCCGCTGCTTCGGTGTCGAAGACTATGACCGAGTCAGCTCAAGTCCACCAGTAGTGAAGGGTGCGGTAGTCACCTCCGTCGGGGAATGGCGGATTCACATGATCCCTCTTAGTCAATCGCTGCGCAAATGATCGCAGCCAAATAGCATCCGTGATCAACGGATCCACGTCAACATGCGTGTTCGCAGTCACGGAGATCCACGCCCTCCGATCGATTCTCCACCCAGGGTTCGTGATGAGCAGCACAGTATGAGATGGCCGCCACGGTACCGCAGACGCGGTGGTAGAGCCCCAGAGTGTCAAGGTAGCCTCGGCCGTATCGTCGAAGAGGCCGATGTTGATGCGTTCAGTAGTACCCCTTTTGTTCTCAACTATACCCATCACGATTAGCTTCTTCGGGGTATCGTTCACCAAGATTGCAGTGCCCACCCTTCGTCCTAGCCCCAATGCTCTTGACACACACTAGAATCTTCCCATCCGCGACATCATACCCTCCATCAATGAAATTCTGCAGCGTCATCAGCCCCGGCAACGGCTGGCCCTTCTTATACCCAATCGGCTTTTTGCACTGCACGCCCTCATCGCTGTTCTCATGACTCTTGAAATGGCAATTCCGATCTCGCTCAGGAAAGATACTCGTGAAGAGCGGCGCGCTCGATGGAGCCAGCGTGCCGTTCTCGCCATAAGAGAGGTGCGGCGTCCACACAGAGATCAGCTGGCCGAGGTGGAGCTTGTAGTCCATGTTGGCGTACCAGAGTCTGACCTATAGATTTCGATTAGTGATGCCTAGATCAGTGCGGTTGGGCGTACCGTCAGTGCGCCTGTGTTGTCCGCCACGATCAGCTTTATGCAGCCTTTCGCCGCTTTGGGTGCTTTGCTCGGTGTGGCCTGGTCGTAGAGGTTGACGACGCGGCCGATGAAGGTGACGCATCGAGGGCCAGCGTCGAGTTCACCGATTTCTTGCTCTTCGTATTCTTGTGTCGGTGTCCATGAGCTGTCAATGGTGGGATGGAGGACCGCGTCGACTTCCTCGGTGGAAAAGCCATCCCCGGCTGGCGTTGCTGAAGGCGATGAGCTCGGCGGTTGATGCTCTTTTGAGCTAGGCGACGACTTCACTTGGAAGAATGACTGGATGGATGGGAATTGAGGCGCCATCCTCATTGATGATGCAGAAAGGAGGAGGGAATAGAAGTTATGAGTTCATTTGAAGTCCATTTAGAGTTGACCGAGGCAACGAGGTTAATCGGACTACGCTCCACAAATGACCTCACTGCTACTTCAAGGAATGAGATCGACAGACCTACTTTGCGTTTCAATGACTTGATGACGGCGAGTATATATATACCTTAGGAGATGAGATTGATCGCGACGAAGAGGTTGAGATCAGGCGGTATCACGTGGCATTATGGAGGATGGATGAAGAATCAAAGTGTATTGCATCTTCTGAATGAGTGTTGGAGTTGGCCAGACTAAGAGAGAGGAGGCAGTCTGAGTGTGCAGCAAAATGTTGAAGTCAAGCCGGCATTGTCTCAGCCTCCCATCCACCCACGCTGATGTTGAAATCAGATCACCTCACGTACCAAGCAGTCGATCATCGCCATCTACAAGCCCTTGTGCTCGAGAGTCATGTCGTTCTCGGGCTCGAGACCGACACAAGCGCGGAAGATGTTGGTAAGGGCCGCGCGCTGCTTAGCAAGAGCGTTGATGACAGGAGTGCCAGGGGGAGTAAGAGGTGCCTGTTGCAGATTAATACACAGAAACACATTCGGAGAGTGGATACTTACTTTCAACATATAGCTGAGAATGCTGAGGACGCTGTGGAAGTTGCCGTACTTACCATCCTCACCCTGAGCCTTCCACTGGATGCGAGTCATCATCTCGGCAATGACGACCAGATCAATGATCAGAGGAGACGCCAGAAGAGAGTCCTCGCAGACGTTGAAGATGCTGATGGTCTGGTGGCCACCCATGAAAATCTCTGCATAGTACTCGTCCAAAGCGCGCTTGTTGTCTCCCACAGCAGGCATGTACTTAATGACGACGGTGTGGTCAGGGTGCTCTCCCTCCTTGTACAGGACAGAGTTGGCTGCGACCATGTCATCCACAACATTGGACTTGGAGATTTCCTTGGAGCGGAATTGCCTCTGAGAGCTCAAGTTCTTGCCGTCATTGTTGCCAAGATGGTTGTAGCTGGCAATGGAGGTGAGCTTGATACCGGCGCTGATCAAGAAATCCACAAGCGCGGACTTCATCTTGGTCTGGCCAGACTTGAAGTCATCGCCTCCGATGTAAGCATTGTGCTTTTCAGCGAGAGCAATGGCACCAGGCACAAACGTGTTCTGGGGAGAACCGTTGATGAAGGGAGCTCCCTCAAGGATGGACGCAACCGCGAAGACAGTTGATGGGGAGACTTCTTCATGGCCAGTTTCTATGGCCTTGAGAAGGTTCTCAGCAGTGTCGTTGACGCCTTCGATGAGATCGGCAAAACGTTCAGTGTTGGCAGTCCACTGAACGATGACCTTGTCGAGGTTGTTTGCGGCCTTGAAGTCACTGGTACAGGATTAGCATCACCGTTGATACATTGCTAACATGCAACATACCGAATGTCTTTGCGGATGTGCTCAACATGCTCGTTGCAAGCCTTGCTGCCGGGGATCAAGTTGTCGGCACGGTCCTCCTGGTTGGCAGCAATGAAGTCAGGGTAGTAGATGCTGGGAAGGGGCTTGATGGCGGCCATTTCCTTGTGAACGAGTTGCTTCAAAGTTGGCTCCAAGACAGCAGCACGATCCATAGCCTCGGCCAGGTTCAGGCCACTGATATCCCATCCACCAATGACAATATCATTCGGGTGGACCATAGGCAGGAGATCGTGGAAGGGGATGTTGATTTCCTGTCCAGTCTTCTCGTCGGTTCCGAGCTTGATGGTCGATCCCATGACGACAGAGCCATAGTAGTTCGCAGTTTGCTTGCCCTCACGAGTAGCCCAAGTGAGGCCACGGCGGTTGGCGAGGATGCCTGCGGTCACGGTGGTTCCATTGTTACCACCTAGACCGACAAGCAAGACACCTACCTTTGGGACCTTGCGATCCACCTTGAAGTCATATTTAGTCTCCTTGGGAGTGGCAACATATTTGCCATCGCTCCCCTTGGTGACTGCGGTGGTGCGGTACGTGTATTTGCTCCTGATCTCAGTGTCCGTGTACTCGACATTGGGGGAGTTCACAACGAAGAGGTCCTTAGGCACAGAAGGTCCCACACCACCCCCATTCGCAAAGCCAGTGCTATCTTCCGCATGGGGAGCCATGTTGAATAGCAGTATTGTTGATTGCTTGGAAGATAGAATTTATCTGCCGTGTTTTAAGTCCGATGCACCTCCAGAAGGAGAAGAGCGTCGGCCTGCGAATGGGTGGTGGACCCTGAACGAATGTTAGCATTTTTCACGCGTACGACGCCATTCATGATCGATTCCACCTCATGCAAGGCAATCTTTCCTTTGGCATGGTGGGGGAATACGCACGAGTTGAGGAGATTGGAGAACGTCTTGGCGACTGGGCAATGGCCCGAGGGTTTAGATTTGGGTAAAGGGTTGGAAGGGAGTTCTGCGTGCTTGCTGGGAGTCAGAAATCGGAAGTTGTGGGTGAGCGTGTGTGAAAGGAAGCGGGGCGTCTTTATAGAAAGAGCACGTCTTTCTCGCCGAGAGCTTATCGATAGCAAACGCGTCGTGCCGGCCTAAGCCGGAGAGTTCATCCCACCGCTTCTTCCAATTGCGACTCCAAGCCTGAGGCTAGATAATTGCGAGCACGCCGATGGGCCCCGACGAGCCAATGGCGGCACCAGGCGGCCAGCAGTAGCGTTTCGCGGTGTCAACGTGTACTGTACCCTGACAGGACTCCATATCCACCGTCTCCAGCTGTCACGGAACCACAGAAGAGGGCGTTCCGAGCAGTCACAGGGCCAATCTGCGGCGAGTGCTCATAGTTAGATGTGATAGTACTGATAAGCGTGCAGAGAGCTAGAGACGACTATGCAGAGGACGCCTATTGCTGGGGAAGCGGAGATGCTTTCACGATGCTCGCTGGCAGTGCCCCGCGGTGGAGTACACTACTCCTCCACTACTCCAGACCCTTGAGGCAGCCGATCTCGCATCATGCCGTCCTAGACACGCTTAGGGCGGCTGAAGACATGCAGGGTGCCGAGTCCGTCAACGGTGTCGGTAAGAAACGCTGTCCGTCAACACGCTGTCAACATGTCGCCAACCTTGCTCATGCACACAATCGACATGAAGTGCTACTCCGAGCAGCATGTGCTACCGTAAGCGGGGCTCTGCACGCGCTCTCAGGGCCACGACATATGCGAGACAGCGCAAGCTTCAGGGCTCTGCGGTGGTGTGGGACGATCGCACCAGAGGCACGGCAGAGGCACGAGATGGTTTTACGTACAGAGGCTCCCACGGCGAGGGCTATCAAGGAGGTGGAATGGTGAAGGGGCGCCAGACGGCAGGCCGGCGGGCGTGGTGCAGAAGTATCGGGGGGCGTCGATTCGAAGACGGACCGGACCGCGAAGAAAGAGGCAATTCGGCATGCTCGCCGTCGGGAGACACAGTCCTACTTGTGGTGTCTCGCACGCCTCAAACGCCCCGAAACAGTCGACTTCGTGGTGGCGCTGGCCGCAACACAGCGTCAAACCGTGGCGGCACATGCAACAATGTAGAAGGCATCCCTGGGGCCCTTGGGCGAACTCAAGACTTGGGCGGCGTGTTCAGCAAGCGGCCAGAGTTTCGAAGCGACTTCCACATTGTTTTCCGTCATGGCCGCCCGGGGGCTCGATTGCACGGCAGACCTCAATCTACACAGTAGTAGGGTCGTCGTCAGGGGCTCGTTAGTGTGATTGGCTCGCGATATCTCTCATCTCCCACTGCTCGCCGGCGCGCTTTGGTGACGGCTCCATCCGCGAACCACGTCTCCCAGCAGCACTCACCAAACCCAGCGTGACCTCGTACCCAGCCCTACGCGGCCACAAAACGTGTTCCCAGCGGCTGCGACGCCCAGCGAGGCAGACCGGTGGGTTGTTTCATCTCACGTTGCGCCTGTCGCCGTCGGGTGCTGCGAATATGGTCGCGGCACGAGGCCTTGGCCAACCTGGGCTGCGCGCCTCCAGACGCCCTGTGCACGGCTCTCTGAGAGGGCAGCAAATCACCGGCCGGCGAATCGACTGGCCTCGGACGCCTCCTTCAGGGACACGGGCACGGAAGCACGGTTGACCTGCATTTCCCTCACCCTTGCCCCATGCTGCCGCACCTCTCCCTCAAGTCGCTCGTTACTGCTCTTGTATACTCTTGCTTTCTCAATTCATCGCTGGGACCGGGCTACTTACGAAGGTTAATATCTCTAGCAGTTACTGTCACACTGCTATTTGCGCCGCATCCGAATCCTGTGCCAGCTCCCATAGTGTTTCCCGGCAGGTATCGACCTCAGTTCGCGCATCCATCGCCAGGGCGATCAACAAGATCCCAATCTCAGCAATACCTCCGAGCCTGGCCCTGTTCTCCTCTCCATCCAGCAGGTCACTTTCTCTTGGGCCGCCCACCACTAGTTGCTGTAACTCTACCGTTCTCTGCCGCTGCATCTCCTTTGCTGTTATCGATTCCGTCGCATCCTTCATGCAATCGCCAGCCTCGACAACCATTACGGACGGCCGATCGAACAATCCTCCAGCTTTCCTACTTTCATTCACGACCCCAAGTGCTGGACCACTCCTTATCGGCAGCAACCATGGCCACCGAGCCGCGGCCTGCGAGCATGCTGCCTGCAATCAAGTGCTCAGATTGTGGTGTGGAAATTGAAATTATGAGCATGGCCGACCATGTTTGCTCCAAGGTTCCTTCACGTAGGTTTACATCCATTGTCTTCTTTCACGCGACACTAACTGTCCAAAAGAAAAACCGCAATCGCCAAAGAGCAGGATGGATCGAGCAGCCACCTTCAGTACAAGCCTAGCTGCGAAGACGTCGGGACTTCTCCGACCCGGTCGCATGCCACCACCACCAAAGATCGACTCTTCTGTTGCTAGTAAGCTACCAATAGCAAAGGATATAACATCAATACTAAACTCGAGGCAGATAAACCTTTCGCGCCGCGCGATCAATTGACACCTCTGAGCAGCTATAGTGACCCGAGGAGTGCCTCTCCCATTTCTCCCGGCTACAAACCAAAGATGATGAGGAGCGCCACCAGCCCGATGCCTCGACCATTCAGTCCACCGTCTCCCGACCTATTATCGGGCAATATGGACTGCCCCTTTCCCCCGTTCCCAACTTCTCGCAGCGGTACACCTACGCCTAAGGAGGCAAAACCGAAATCTAGAGATGGATTACAACCAATACCCGACCATCGGTATGCCGAAGCAGATCCTTTGTACGCGCCTTTGAGTCCACGAACGACCGGTGGCGCCAGTGTGCTCAAGAGAATGAACACAATTGCGCCAGGCCCATTCGATGCTCGGTCTGGTAAAGGACCAGAAAAGACGCCACCAATCGACAAATCAGGGCTGGGCCATAGAAGAAATGCGACTCATGGTAGTATAGGCAGCAACTACACTGGAAATGTGCAAAGAGCTTCCTCTGTGGGATCTACCAGATCTCGTAGTTCAACGCTGTCTTCGAATGGAGTCGTTGGCCTTCCATCGCGCCCAAAACAATCAGGACCACCTGCGAGGCCATCACGACCGGAAGGGATTGATGCCTTCTTAGAGCAATTGCAAGAGCAGGCTAACGAGCTTCCGAAACGAGGCTTATCTGCGGACAGCCGGGCGCGCACATTTCCTTTGCGGAAAGATAGCGAAGCTAATGTGGATGTTCCGCCATTACCATCATTACCACCACTTCAAAGGCGACCGACCATGGGATCTGAGGCATCAGATAGCTCTTCCATTGTATCAAGAGGTCTGCCGAGCGATCCAAAATCATCCAACGGATTCCCACCGAGGAGTGCAAGCCGCAGCGGTTCTTTCAGCGGTTCGAGGGCTGGTCTGAGACGCGACGACCCTCCACCGGTTCCGGCGCTACCGGTGTTGCCGAATATCCAGACACAAGTTCCGGCGAAACCACTTCATACACCTTCTGATTCAGGTTCATCTGATGATTCCGTTGCCAACTCCGATATTCGAAGTGCAACGAGTTCAAGATCCAGTCCACCGGCATCAGAGGCTTGGGGCTTGTCACGAAGGCCTTCCAAGGCCAGTGCCTACGAGCCACCAGCGCAAGAGGATAACCGGATACAAAGGATTGCCAGTCCTAGTGTAGACTCGCGAACACAGTCTCCACGGCCTCTTACCCCCGAGACACGGAGCGACAGCCGAAATGGCCCTACCGGCTATAACAGAGGCATGGCGCCTGAGCCGTTGATGAAACCAAGGCCGTTTCCGGTCGCAGACGGGCCGGAGTCTCCAATGGATCCTGCTATACAATTGGGCCTATTTAACCAGAGGCGCCCCTCGAAGCCCTCTATACTTCCAACTCCTCAACCACCACCGCCTCCCTCGTTCAACTTTTCGATGAGCCCTCCTAAGGGCGCTCCTCCAATGGTTGCACCACAAGCATCAACACCGCCCGTCAGCCGACGAGGTACGATGGCGAGTAAGGGTAAATGTAGAGGCTGCTCTGAACCTATTGTTGGCAAGTCTGTCAAAGCTGCGGACGGGCGTCTTACTGGTCGCTACCATAAGCAATGTACGTCTCAATATAACTCTCCTTCTCTCTCCAATGCTGATATCCGAAATAGGCTTTGTGTGCAAGACCTGCCGCGCCCCGTTCCAGACAGCAGATTTCTACGTCATCAACAACTTTCCCTATTGCGAGCAGCACTACCACCAACTCAACGGATCTCTCTGCAAGGGCTGCAATCGTGGCATCGAAGGTCAATATCTTGAAACCGACCAACGACAAAAGTTCCACTCGAATTGCTTCACCTGCAACCACTGCCGAGTCAGATTAAGAGACGACTACTTCGAAGTCGGAGGGAAGGTCTTTTGTGAAAGACACGCCTTCCACGTCGCTCAGCAGAACAACATGCTTGGCGCGCGGAGGAATCCGGAGCGCCGGACCACAAGGCTTATGATGATGATGTGAGGTATTATTGTTCGATGTGGCATTGCGCATTACTGGAGTTTCGATTCTCACCGTCTATATTTAACCACATTTTGGCCCCTTTTTCGCGCTCTTGCATGGCGGCTTCAGCACTTTCGCTTTCCATTTTTGATATCATCAAAGCAACGCGCATACGTTGCACCGGCGTCCATCGTTTCGACCACTTTTCTTTGCCTTTACCACTACCATTCTGCCCATTTTTCAGCAAGCCCTTGATTCGCATATCGAGCATGTCTGTGGCATAGCATCTGCCGTTCTCCGAGTATTTTCTGGTTGGCTTGATTTACTTTTGGATTGCACATATACCCCTTCTTTTGGCACTTCTTTCAACGCCTTTGTTGGCTTTTTTTGAACCCGCTTTATATCCCCACTTTTTATATCCTCCCCGTCTGTGACAGACGGCTTTTTGGCATTTTTTGGCGAAGTAAAACTCCTAGCAGAGAGATATATTCTGTATTTAATGTTTAGTGTATACTGGCTTATACGCTTAATCTACGCGATCAGCGCATTATTGAGTAATCTGGTTTTTTTTTGCAAATGTGTTCGTGTTGACTATGAATCGTGAGGAGGTGCAGTGCGGTTGGCTGTCTCGGCGCCTGACTGGTCAAGACACCTCTAATTTAAGACCGCTGGCATTAGAGGCGGTCTTGGCTCTCTGAGAGATATCCTCAACCTCTCCGACACTTACGATCGCAGCTGTGATATGCAGGTTCCGTGGCAGCGCAAGGAAAAATGTGGGGAGCAATTCGCGTATTGGGGTTCTGGACTCTTTCTAAGCCCCCTACGATTTATACGATCATTTGACAATAGCTGCCGAATTAGGAAAGTCTTGTGTTTCTAGATTTAGGGAAATGTTGAGCATAGAAGACAGATTGTAGGTCATTATGTGGGAAGAGGTGGCATTTTCTGTGGCTCTTACAAAGGTACCATTCTTAGATGCTTGGGAACTATTGCTAGTTTAGAAAAGTCTTGGCGTTTTGAAAAGTGTTAAATACAGAGAGGGCACATAATGGGCCATTATGTGACATTATGTGACGTTATGGGCATAAATATCAGAAGTACTATGTTTTTTGAAGTAGCAGAACCTTAGCTGAAACATGGACTCGACTTGATAAGATGGTACTTCAAGGATACATATAGGAGCGAAAGCGTAGTCACCTAGCTTAGATATATATATGATTACAACACGGTGTACGCCTTCGCGTCGAAGCTCTTCCCAAATGGTAGAAATGGAGTGGTCACCAAAATGGGCAACTTTAAGCGACACATTTTTCCCAGCACGACTCCACCAAACCCTCGATAGCAACATCCACCCTCAAACTATGGACCATGCCCTCCGAAGACCGGCCACACGATGAAAAATCACAGCCGCCTACCCGCTCGCCTCCCAAGCCCAGCATCTTCACCGTCCCCGCGCCCATAAAGCGCCTCTTCGACCGCTTCCCGCTCACCACCTATCCAGCGAACGAACTCCCAGCGCGTTCACCACGAAACCGCCACCAGAATGTGCTGTACATATTTGCGACTCCCTCGGGCGCTGTATCAGGAGCCCCATCCTATAACCCGAGTTGTCTGAAGTGGCAGGTCAGTTTGCGCGCGGCGCATCACTTCTTCACGCTGGCCATGGACTGAGTCGCATATAGACATATCTCAAGTTCAGCGACGTCGACTTCCGACTGGTTGCGTCGAATAATCATGCTTCTCCTAGCGGCGCGCTGCCCTTCTTACTCCCTTCGACGCACGATACTGCGAAGCCGGCATCGCCAATTCCGTCGGGAAAGTTGCAGAAATGGGCTTTAGAGAAGAGGAAACGGAGGGTCGAGGAGCCGGAGGATATGCGGTATGAGGCGTATCTGTCACTCCTCGACCACCTAATACGGAAGGCTTGGGTATGTGGATTTGAGGCGCGTCTGGGAATATGACGACTGACGGGTTGCGACTAGCTCTATACGCTCTACCTTACGCCCAACTTTACGTCTATTGCGGAACCCCTCTATGTCCTTCCGATTTCGACGAATTCGATGGTTCGGCTTACCACTGCGTATGAATTGCGTAAAGCGGCGGAGATTGAACTGCTGAAGAATTCTGTGGTCATTGATGCCGAGACGCTGTATACGGATGCTGAAGAGGCGCTTGGGGCTTTGGAGACGGTGCTGGGAGATCAAGATTGGTTCTTTGGCGCTAAAGAACCGGGGCTTTTTGATGCCAGCGTATTCGCATACACGCATCTGCTGCTAGACGCCCATCTCGGAAACGGCTGGGCGGAACCGCGTCTCCGAAACAGTGTGCTGGCTCGGGGAAACTTGGTGGCTCATCGGGACAGGATACTCGCAGGATACTATCCCGGCGCGTAGCCACTGAGAGCTCACGATATGGGCCAACCTCGGGGCTTTGCGGTGTATAACAAGATCTGTATGATAGTAGTGTAGAGCGGGACTGGTGTATGATAAGAGCTAGGTGGTACAGCATTTGGAAATGGGCGTTGGGAACATCTTATTTGATATCACGAAGGGAAGAGATGCGATTTGCCACATTTGAACTACGTCGTGTGGGCGTGGCTGGCCTCCGTTCGCGTCCGGTGCATTTGCCGGAACGCGTGGGCACATGATGTGAGTCATCTAAAAGTTTGCACTACCTGCCGCTTGGGGAGTGGAGAAAAGGCGCGCCTTGGTTGCCATTGGAGTATATATGAAGTGGTAAGGCCTCTAATTATTGAGCCAATCTTTCCAATTCCTGTCTTTCAAATCTTTGAGGTTTCTTCTACTTGCCTGAGGCTCGTTTGCGTCACACTTCATCCCCACTTGTCGTCGCTTCAACCATCCTCGCCATTAACCACTTGGTGTTTGGACGTTCTCTATATCAAAATGTCTTTCCAACCCACCACACTCAATATGACATTCGATACTTCGCTGGCATACACTGGCGATGCCGACCCGGCACTACTCAACCAGTCCTTCGGCTCTTCCACCGAATCCGACCCCTCCCTTTACAGCCGATATCAAACACCATCCCAAGCAACTGCTACGGCAGATGACGATGATAATCCCTCCCAAAAAACCGCAAAAGAAGCCAACGACGAAAACCCAACCCTCCCCTCTTCCTCTATAACCCCCAAGCCCGCCACCTCCTCCACCTTCTCCGACTTCTCCACCACAACCTCCCCAACGCCAGTCACGCACCTCCCCACCCTTGCGACCTACGACGCCTGGGCCCCCGTCTACGACACAGACGGCAACATGCTCCAAGCCATCGACGACCTCGAACTCGCCACTCTCCTACCAACCTTCCTGAACTCCGTCACCGCCTCCTTCACCTCCACCTCCTTACCCACATCCCAGACCCCAGACCCTGAACGCACTCTCCAGATTCTTGATCTCGGCTGCGGCACCGGTCGCAACACCCTCAAACTCGCCACTCACCCCTACCCCCCTCACCTCCACATCTCCATCACCGGCATCGACTTCTCCGCCCCAATGCTCGCCCTCGCGCGCGCCAAGCTCGCCTCTACCCCGCTCTCCCCTGCCATCGCCTCCACCACGCTCCACCACGCCGACGCCTTCGCCGCCCCCGCGCCAGCCGTCCTGGCCACCCTTCCCCAATTCGACGCGATTATCTCTACCTTGGTCCTTGAGCACGTGCCGCTTGCCGCCTTCTGGCAGCGGGTGGTCTGGCTGCTGAAGCCAGGCGGCGTGGCGCTGGTGACGAATATGCACGAGGAGATGGGGCGGGTGAGCCAGGCGGGGTTTGTGGCGGGGGATGGGCGGAAAGTTAGGGGGGAGAGCTGGGCGCATGGGGTCGCGGAGACGGGGGAGGTGGCGCGGGGGTGTGGGCTGGAGGTTTTGGGGGTTTGGGAACGGGCGGTGGAGGAGGGAGATTTGGAAGGGGGGGTTGGGGAGAGGGGGAGGAAGTGGGTGGGCAGGAGGGTGTGGTTTGGGGTTTTGGTTAGGAAGGGGGAGGTCTGAGGGGTTGAGGATAGGTTTGGGGTTCGGGATTTGAAAAGTGAGGAGTCGGGTCTTCGTTACGGCGGTGTTTTCGGATATTTGTTGAGTTGTTCACCATGAGGCTCCTAGGGGCGTTTGTTTTCGGTAGTAATACTTCAGAACGCTTTGAAACTTAGTCAATGAAGCGCAATTGCAGGAAGACCCATAAGAAAGGTTCTCCCCTGTGTCCACTTGCGTGATTTCATCCGATCTTGATGTTTCCTCAAATCTATCACAACCGAACAATAGCTCCAGGTTCGCATGCAAAAGCTGTGATGACGTGTAAGTAAGAGGTTTGATGTGTAGATGAACTCTGACTTACGTCTTGATGCATCCTAGTGAACTAAATAGTAAACGTTGTGGGGAGTGTCTGGGAGTTCAATGGTTCCGAAGCTTCGAGAGTACATTTCTTAATCGTCTCCTATTTTTGACAGCTGGATGCCTACGAGGTTGACTCTGGGGCTTCGAGAGCGATCGATCATTCTTTACGTCCTTGTGAGGGCTCGAGTCTTGTGAAGAGAACGCTTGTTGGTTTCCAGAGTCGTCTGTTCTGAACGTGTTCTCCTGTCGGCGATTAGGGTTTTGCGAGGTTGCCGTTCCCAAGGTTCCTACAGTGGATTGATCGAGACTGCACTGGCTAAGTTGCTACATGTGCCCGGAAGGCCGCCCTTGACCCTCACTGAATGCTGGCAACGCTTCGAAATCTAGAGTTGACGCGATGCTCTGATCGTCGGCTGCTTCAGTAATTGTTCTTGCGGCCGCTTGGCTACGCTTCCTCTTCTTCTCCGTCGTCTCTTTCTCTCTTTCTGCTTTTATCTTTGACAAGGCGCTTGGGACAAGGCCTGTCATATCCTCCGACTGTCATCGGGAGTGGCATTTGAGAATGCCAGTGGACAGGAGTAGGTCTTGAAGCCGAAACGCTTCAGCGTCCTGAAATAGTCATCACCATTTGCAATACGCGCCCACCGCATACTACCAAGTGGCAACAACGTCCATCCCATACTCTGCTTCGTCAAAGACTAGAAAAATGACGCCTCTAGCGCAACCTAATAGCCGGAGCAGGTCGGCCGCCCTCTTACTATCTGCCTTCTACGTCGTTTGCCACAATTTTCGTCACCTTGGACCTATATCATACCATCTAAGAAGTATATGATAAGAGGGTAGTAGTAGGTTGTGGTTGGGGAGGAGGCAATGGATGTTGCTTAGAAAGACTAGAGTGCGAGTTGTAGCAGCTTAACGACGGTCTCATGCCCATTCCTTACCGCCCACGAAAGCGGCGTCCCTCCGTCCTTATCCTTGGAGTCGACATCGACCTTGCCTGTCTCGAGCAGCAGCTTAACAACGGCCTCATGCCC